CCATCGTTCCCGATGCAAGCCGTTCTCGCAGGTATGGCATTTTGTACATGAAGCCTTCGGGTTGCAGCTACTCAGCGATCTTGGACACCCCTCGCCGCGCTGAACTGCCCACAGCCAGGGCTACGTCTGGCACCTATAACCATTTTGCGACCCATGACCAACGCTTCGACCGATGCTCAGTTCCTCGAGCCAATTGGCTGGAGAGCTATTACGTATTCGTTCCTCCCGACCAGCCAATGAGAAAAACACACCACTGTCAACGGATCTACCGACGCCTTCCCCAATTCTCTACACAAGGCGTCGCGAACGAAACAAGAAAACAAGTGCTGAAATCGCGGCGAGAGCCGCGACCGACGATCCCAGCCGGTCGGCCCCCGATCGTTATCTGCCACCCGCCGCTGGACAACCGCCGACCTACAATTATTCCAAATCTCTAGTGCCCCCGTTATTCTTAAACGACACCCGGCGGGTCCATTCTAAGCCCCCCGCTCCGGCCCCTCCCGCCCTCCTCTCAAATCGAGCAACTCATGGGCCATTAGAAGCGGCTGTTTCATCAAACGGGCACGCCGCTGCCGGCCTCCCAGGCCCCCGCCTCCGCCTCTCCGGCGCCCCCGTGGCCGTTGAGCACCCCGGCCAACGTCACCCAGGCCACAGCGGCCATCACAATCATCAGGATGGACCCACAGTACAGCTCGGACGCCGGCAACTTCCACCCGGGGCCCCGCTCCACCCCATGTCGGTCCGGCGCATCTCCCGTTCCCCTCCGCCATACCCACTGCGCGTACGTCGGCAGGGCGAAGGCCAGCACGAGCAGGGCCCAGCCCACGATGTGCACGCAGCTCGCGGGCGCCTGCTCGAGCCCACGAGTCCCCTTGTGCCCCCCTTGGCCTCCCACGCCGTAGTACATTGCCGCCAGTACGCGCCCCACCGCCCCGTCTACGGCCTCCCAGGCCTCAACTACGGCCGCCCTGCCCTCTGGAGTGGCTGAGGCCGCCCGACACACCTCAACGCCTCGCGACGCGCCCACTGCCGCCACCATCCCCAGCTGGAGGGGCACGTGGAGGGCCAGGGGGACCGGGAGGGCGAACGGCACCACAACTATGGGCAGCAGGGCCGTGCCGCCCAGCACGCGCACGGGGAAGGACGGCGTGGAGAAGCGGGGGGAGTCATAGAAGAGGGCGGCGAGGGAGGCCACCGCCCATCCGCTGAGCACCAGGGGGAGGACGCCGGCCGGGGGCTCGCCAGGGGATCGCCCACGCGCAGAGGCCGCCAGGCGCAGCGCGAGGGCCAGCAGGCCGCACGCGCACGCTGCCGCGCTGCCGCCCTCCCCACCCCGGGCGGTGGCATCCGTCCAGCCCTGGTCGGGAGCGGGCATGGCGCCGATCAGGTGTGGCGCGGGGCGAGGTTGGGGCAGATGGGCGAAAGATCGGGCATCCCAGGCGCCCGGGCTGCCGCGAGCGGGGCGTCCCGTTCAGGGCGCCATACCGGTCGGTGTCGGGGGGTGGGGGGGCCGGGCGAGGGCGCCGGTCCCGCAAGCCAGGCGGGACGGGGGCCAACGCACCATGCTGATGGGGCGAGACCCAAGGTACAAGCGAGGGAGATTGTGACTACAATGGTCAGTAGTGGCCGGATCCCCCTGAATAAACATGGGGAGCGGCAGTACGCATCCTCGGGACACGGCCGTCGCGCACGCCCCTGGTGCGCCTGCGCCCGCGGCACGCACCTGGGCGCGTTCGAGACAGCTCCGGATGATTTGATGGGTTGCCGTGCCCGAGTTGGCGTCCAATGCACGGCGCGAGGGGGGGCTCCGCTCCGTACGTGCGCCACAGCATTACATGCGTGCACGTCGGAGCCCCTTACTGATCAAGAAGCCGCCTGCTGTCGCACTGTTTGGCCCCTGCAAGCATCCGTCGTAGTCCATGCTGATGTTGCCCCTGGCTCCGCCGAGAATATATTACTCCCCGTTCTTGTTTGCTGAATTTCGGTTCTTGTTTTCGGACACCCTAAACCCCAACTACTGATCCACGCACCGGGACTGGCCTTGTCAGCGGAACAAGAACCGAAATTCAGCAAACAAGAACGGGGAGTAATTTTATGCCAGCTGCGCCTGATTGCGCTGTGGTCATGTGCCGCAGTGTCCACTCTCAAAAGGAGAGCTGGGTCTTTGAGAAGGATCCGCACACCACGCCGGGGAAGAGCTGTAAAGTTCGTGGCCGAAACGTGGCCAGACCCTCCGGGTAGCACAGTGAAAGTCTGTAAAAGGTTCACCCGTCCCCAACCCAGAGCGGTTGAGGAGAGCGACAAAAGGCGGTGAGCTTGGGTCGCTTTGCATGCATGTTGCTGGCAAATCGGCCACAGAAACACGGGCATACCTGCACACTGGTCATGCATGTCCAGGCACATGCAATCCAAAAGGACATGGACAGAAACGCTGATAGAAACGAGATGGTTTGGGACCGAAAACGGCTGGCTTTGAAGCCAAACTGGTTGGGCTGCACGCCAAGACCTGTGTGCAAAGGCCACACACTCAGAGAACACCAGCAAGGCGCTTACAACTTCACAAACTGTTGTTCGTTCAATTGCATCCCCTCCAATAATGAGCAGCGCGACCTTGTGGGGCCGCACGTGTCACGGCAGTCACCCAAAATAGCCCCTCCAGACCTCGAAACCTCGTATACATGTCAGTGCATCAATACTGCTTTGATCCTTAAAAAGTCACATCAACTCTGGGAATTCACATACGTTCCCTCCCAGCCCTTATATATTTGTAGGCTATTACCAGCCGCTCACTGACTCCTGACGCAAGAATTGCATCAACACCACACAACACGCAGCCTAGGCCACAGAAAAATGCCAAGTGAGCCCTCTGCCCTTCGGTCATTAGGTTCGATTAAAAAACTACCGCACTTCACACAGCTGCCATGATGGCAATTCAAGTGACATATATCACTCAGTCAGCGCACCCATAACCATTTTATCCATGTCAGCACATGGCAAAACAAATACAACCTCTGATGTTCATTCAGCAAATGGGTCATATCGCCATTCTGGATGCCAAGTGTCACTAGAAAAATGTAAAAACCATCAAATATTAGATAGAAAAGACTCGACATCACACATCTGTGCAACCCATCTCGAACCGTGTTCACATCATTTCCCATCACTCGCGGCTGCCATTGAGGAGCCAAACATGCAGCATGCCGACATCTTTGCTCATTTTCTGATGGACGAGCTGGGCATCATATCCTTGAGTCGCAGTCTAAGTCTGAGTTCAGTGCACTGACGTAGGGCATGCCCACAGCTGCGTGTACCTTGTGCTGCTCTGGCCATGGCTTAAATTGCCGTTGATGATCTGATGTTCAGTGTCCCTTGCTGTTGATTATCTGATTCTCAATGTTGCACCCCAGTATGTCACGGTCAATCCACTGAATTCTAGACCACCTTCTGGGCCTCACGGGGCGCCAGCTTAGTGACAGTATGTGGAAAAATTGCCTGCCAATCATTATGTTAGGTTGGTCCCTTTTATTGGCGACCCGAACAGAGCCCTATTGGCGTACTTGTTGAGGTAGGTGATGCCATTCAACTTTGCGGAAGGAACTCCAGCCGCTCTGAAGCAGTGCACCTCCACACAGACACGCAGACACACACACTCTGCCCAGTGGGGAATTGTCACCAAGTAAGGCCAACGATTCCCACCAGTCACGGCCATCGTTGGACGGGTAATAGGGACCCGATCATCGAACTGCGTTTAGCAAGACACCACCAGGCGGGGCCACCAATGGACGTGCGCAATTGCAATCACACTCCAGATTCGTTCTCTTTGCGGTGGGTTGGGGCGCGGTAGGCAAAATCGCATTAAACTGTGGCATTTAGCGGGGCGGTATGCGCTGCTGCGATGTTAGTTTATCATTTCGCACCCCCTGCTGTGGTTCTCACGTTCTTTTCCTCACTTGTCTGCAACTTGATGTTGCTGGATCTCGAGTGAATACAGGTTGTTTGGCACATTGGGTGGGCAGCCGATCGCCAATCCTGTTTGGGAGTAAGGTGTGGCCTGATTGAGATGCACATGGTGAGAGATGCAATGGTCTGCCAAGGTGGCGGCATGCCCGTTTGGGAAGCTGAATGATTGATGCGTATTTTGAGAAGCTGAATGACTGATGGATATTTGGAGAAGCTGATTGATGCTCGAAGTCGTTACAGCCCAAAGGCTTTGGGCGGCATGGACCGCTTGCCGCTGCACAAATCGGTGTTTATTGTTCCCCCTCAGACAGTCTCGAACCCCTAGTCTCTACTCTCTGTACACTATGGGAGCTGCCGATCACGACCAACACAAACACCCTACGCGCTGTTCCTCTAACCCCGCCCGCTATCCCCGTCCATCCACATTTAAGAGCACAAACGCCTAAAAGAATAGAGCCACAAACAGCTTGAGGCTCATCCCGCCACCAGCAAGGGGCCCCACCACTTGCCTGGCCCCCCCAACCCTTGCCAAGTCTCCTCTTGGTCAGTGGTCAGTAATGTGAACGCCAGCGCAACGCCCGCTGCGATCTCAGGTCTTCCAGCAGCGTCCGGCGACCAGGGCCTCCACCCCCTGGCTCGTGTGTCTCCTTCCCCGCGAAAAGTCCACAAACCGCTTCCCGCCGGTGGGCGCCTACGCGACGGGATCTTCGCCGTCTGCGGGACTTTTGGGCCCCTTGGCCAGGGCGGCCGACGGCAGCTCGCATATTGTGGACCCCCAGTGTATGACCGTGTCCGCCATCAGCCGCTGCATCCCCTCCGCGTCCCATCTCCTGGCCCGCCCCTCCGGCAGGCCGTCCACCCACCGCTGCCCCTTCTGGATCACCGCCAGCAGCGCGAAGCAGTCCTCGCGGCTGACCACGCCGCAGGCGCCGCGGTCGCAGAAGTCCTCCCTCAGCACCCGCAGGAACCACTCCTCGCCGACGTCCAGTAGCGCGTCGCAGACGGACAGCAGGTCCGACGGCGGGTCGATCGTGGATGGCGGATCCTGGGGCCTGGGATCCTCTTCCCTGACACCCGGTTCCTTGGCACCCCCTGCCCCGTGCGGGCCGGTGCAGGGATTGTTTTCATGCTCGGGTCGAGCCAGGCGGGGTGGGCGTACGGGGGCGCCCGTCCCCCGGCCCCTCGGCTCGCCCATCGCTCCCCCGCTCCGCTTCTCTTCCTTCTGCTCCCGCGCCTTCCCGGTCGCCCGTCTTCCGGCATCCCCACCCGGCCTCGCCGCTCTGCCTCCCCCTCCCGCCTTTCCACCCGTTCCCTCCCCGGATGCTCGACCGGGGCCCCCTTTCGCCGTCGGCCGATTACCCCGCCGGGCGCCGGCCTGGCCCCCTCGATTCGCCCCGCTCGGCGCCGCCTGCCTTGGTGCGCCTTTCTTCGCCGGCCCGCCCGCCCTCGCCTTCTGCCCCGCCACCGCCCTCCTCTTCTGCCCCGAATCTTCCTCGCCCTCGCGAGGGCCCGTGCAGCACGCCTCGCCCGCCTTGCGCACCGCCTCTGCGTCCTCGTCCAGCCGCCCCCGCTTGGCCCTCAGCGCCTCCGCCCGCTCCGACAGCCTGTGGTGCAGCGCCAGGAAGTTGTCGACCGATCGCCCGGCGGGCCCGAACTCGCGCGCCTCCACCAGCCCCGCCATGTCGCGCAGCATCAGCAGCACCTCCTCGCACTGCAGCAGCTCCTCAATGAATTCCGTGGCCAGGGCGGCCGAGTTGCGGTACCGGGCAAACACCCAACCCCTCAGCGCCGCCAGGTCCCCGCCCTCCTGCCCGCCCCCCACACACCTCGCCTGCCGCAGGGGCAGCTCGCCGGCCAGCATTTTCTTCGTCTTCTGCAGCTGGTCCACCCACCCCTTGTGCCGATCGCCGCAGGGGGCGCCCGGCGGGCCGCCCGGAACGCCGCCCACCTCCAGCCAGCGCTGGACCCGCCGCACCGATCTCTCCACCGCGCCTCCGCCTACGACCTCCTCTACGAAGCGCGTCCGCACCTCCCTCGTGACCACCCTCTGCCCCGCGCATGCCTCCAAAGGATCCCCAAATTTTCGCGCATCCCCTTCCCCAACTCCCGCCCCGGAATCCGATCTCCCGCGCCCCTCCAGCAGGGCGTCAAGCTCCGACAGGTCCACGCGCCAGCGGTCGCACTCCCCGTCGCCCGACAGCAGCGACGAGTAGGACTTCATCTTCTCCAGCCTGCCGCCCTCCCAGGTCCTCTCCTCGACGCGCCTGACCCCCAGATCCGGCTTCACACTCTCACACCCGTCAGCCCCTTCCCCAGATCCGTCCGCGTCTCCTCTCATGCACGACCCACCTCGCGGGCCCCAGGGTGCGGTAACCATTTTCTCGCTTCGACAGCAGCACCGGCCACCCGAGCGGA